TTTTTGGTCAGGTTACTAAAGTAATTTTATATATTTTGAAACATTAATTAATCATTACATTAGAACATAAATTTTTAGTTGATCTATCATATTCTCTAAAACACAAACTATATGTTCTTTTTAAAGTGATCGCCAACTATTGTTTTAATTTTAGTATTATGTTTATATAATATAAAAACTGYATTAATTAATTAACATATTTTTACTGATCRGCTATTAACTATTTGGATAGTTGTTATAATTTTTTTGACTTTAGTACATTTTGAGCTTCGRAGATTTTATAGGTTGGGTTGTATTTTAGTAGACATATTTGGTTTATTAAATGGTTTCAGTTGGCTTGAGTAGTTTATTATGTTCATTTATTGTTAAAGGTTTTACTTTTAAGTTATAATCGATTTCACAACCTTTCTAGTTGGTATATATTATATAATATATTCTAAACTCGCARTTCAAATTTCTTCACTGGTTAAATATTTTATCGGTAGTTTTTGTATCATTATGTGGGAAAGGGTATACAACCRCCGTGCGTTGCCTGTTCTCAAGTGATTTATTGCTCTTTCATTTTTTCTTGTTATCCTCATACCTCCATATCTAGTATCTACTGTAGAGTCTGGTTTTGATTCTTTTAGTTAATTTTATTTTATTTATACACTTTACGGCCTTTTGATRTATCATTAGTTTCTTATCTCATAAACTGAATTATACATTTATGTTTTGTCTTGTCAGGATATGTTCTAAATTCTGAAACCATTCACATAAATGTTTTAATATAGTCATGAAGAATTTTATTTCCATAAAGCTAATCTATTAATCATTAAATACTAAGTTTTATTACCTATACTAGTATATTTTTTATTTATTGATTTAATTAATTAAACATTATTTGTTTTAATAGTTGCTTTCTTTGGAGATTATAACCTCTATATATTTAAACAATTAAATTGTTTTTACTCAAATAATAACTATAAATATTTATTAACATTATTCTACTGTRGACAATATAAAAACTACCTTAAAAAAATACTTMTTTGAAGTTAAGTTTTGATAATGTCTATGATACACATTAATTGTTAAATTAGGTTTGTGTATAGTTTGATGATGAAAGAGTTTTCCAGTTTCCAATGGCACTAATTTTATGTAGGCGTATTGATAACYTCGTTATYTCGCTACCATAATTATTTTTCTAACACCATATTTGGTATCAAAAATGATGAAAATGTACCTA